GGGCTGACGCCTGCTGTCCGCACACGTGCCGCCACCCCGGGGGGCCGTCCGCATGGCTGTCTCCAAGCCACGACACCGTCCCGTGTCCAGACACCCCACAGGGGGCGAGGCAGAGGCACGGGAGGTGCCAAGGGCAGCGCGTGTGACCGGGGCCCTGGACGCCTCCTTCCCGCAGGACCTCGCGTCCTTCCCTGAGTGGTGGGAGCAGCCCCGGTCGGGGAATGTGATGTGGGGAATGTGCTGGCGGTCAGCGGAGCTGGGCACCCGTGCCCGAGGCCACCTCCCGTGCTTCCCACGTTACCGGGGTGAGGTCGGGGTGCTGGCGAGACCCGAGCCGCCTGCACGTGAGACGCGGTGGCCGCCCAGACGACACTTAGCCACCCCGTCTCGGCTGGCGCCACCTTCGTTCCCTTGCCTGACTTTGGAATTGTTATTATTGTTACTTTCGAGTATTCCGATCTCGGAGTTTGTGTTTAAAAAGTGTACAAAGTTTTGAAACCCATTAGATTCTCCAGATTTCGCTTGAGCGATCTGACGGTGACTGCCAATTTTTAACACCACACTTTTATCCCCATATACAAGGTAAATTTGGGGCCCTATTGAGAAGCCCCAAACAACGAAACTCTCCAGAATAGATTGGTAGAACAAGGAAGTAAGGATCAGGTAGAATAACAATTAGCTCGAGAATTCTGAGATCAACTTTTTGAATTGATTGGTTTGATGGCGGTTTTTATTTTTTATTTTTTTAGCTATTTTAAAAATTGAATTTATTGGGGTGACACTAAGAACGTGGACTGCTGCATGAATTTGCGGTCATCCTTGCTCAGGGGCCACGTCTGTCTTCTCTGGGTCATTCCGATTTCAGTATATGTGCTGCTGGGGCGAGCACAGTTTCTTAACTGAGAGTTTATTTATTCCTACATGTATCACATATTTTAAAAAGAGCTTTACTGATATTCAGAAAACTAAACTAATGTATGCAATTCGATGAGTTAGCAGATAGGTGTGCACCCACGAAACGTCACCGCAGTCAGGACGGGGGACACGCCCACCGCCTCCGGAGGGCCCGCCTGCCCCCTTTCTTGGGTGGTGGGAAAACGATGCAAGATCCGACCTCTTACCAAACGGTCAAGCGCAGGCCGCGTCGCGTTAGCTGCGGGAGCTGACAGTCTATGCCATGGAGCGCCCCATCACCCCAGCCCCGGTGGCCGCCATCCTAACCTTCCTCCCATGAGGTCGGCCGTTTCGGATTCCACATGTAAGTGGGATCAGGCAGCCTTTGTCTTTCTCTGTCAGGCCCCCAGGTTCACCCGTCCCATGGCAGACGGCAGGATGTCCCTCTTTTTCAAGGCTGAATAATATTCCATTGTGTGAGTATATACCTATTCTCTTCATCTGCTTGTTGTTTCCATGTCTTGGCAATTATAAAAAATGTTGCAATAAACATCCTAAACTCTTCTAAAAAAGTGGAGAAGGGACACTTCCAAACGAATTTTATGAGGCCAGCATTGCCCTGACCCCAAAGCCAAACAGATGCTACAAGAAAACCACCTTCCTGTGTGCTTGACGAATAGAGATGTAAAAACCTAGCAAACTGAATATAAAGTGCATTAAAAGCATGATAGGCCTCGATCCAGTGGGATTTACCCCTGTGGGTCACCCCGTGCCGCCTTCCGAAACACACATGTCCGTCCGTCCACCCCGGAAGTACTGACTGCACGCCTCACTGGACCAGCACCTCACTGGGCTGTCACAGTGAGCGATTGGGGCCCCGCTCCTTCTGCTCGGCGGGCCCTCTGGGCCCCGGGCGCTGTGGGCTCAGGGCCGCCAGCCTGGGGACGGGAACAGAGCTGTCCACAGGCTGCCGCCCCAATTCTTCTCAGCAACTTTCCTCCTTGGGGTTCACTGATTCATTTCCTTACGTACGTATGTCAGGGGAAGGGACAGAAGGCGGGACACTTTTGTTCCAATCTCCTACTTTCTGTCCCCAAACTACAAACGGGCCTCGATTGGGAAAGGGGACGACAACACGGCTCCCGCCTCTCCTCGGGGAACCGGGCAGACGGGGGTCTCCGCATGTCCCCCGGACGGCCCCACAGTCCGCGTGCGAAGGACGAGGCGGAACCGTGTGATGTCTTACGTTTTTCACCTGGCCCTTCTTACACATGCGTATTTTTAAGTCCTGGTTGTGCGAGACCCTCCTGTGCGAGGTCTGTGAGTGTTTTTTGCCTGGTGGAGATTCTGCATGACTTTGGGATCGAATTTGGAAGAGACACGCTGACCACTGACCACTGACTGGTGGGAAGGAAAATGTTTAAATCAACCTTCTGTGTTTGGGCTTTGTCTCCACGCAGAGGGGCTGTCGGGATGAGCGCGGGAAGCCTCCCCAGGCGCCCAGGAGACAATGCGTGGGTTTCGTGGGCGAGAGAGAGAATGGCATCTATTCACTGAGCTCAGGGTCGTGTTTCTCCCCAGATCCGGGTGGAAAAGCGTTTGTCTTGGAGGCAGTTAAACAGGACTGAGAAAACCCTCAATTCCTTTGAAAACAGTGAAAAACACTTTGCATTTCCAACAAAAGAAATGCATTTTGAAGGTGAGAAGTTGTCACTCCGGAGTTAAAGAGGAAACTGCAGAAGTAAAACAGCCTTTGGGGGAGGGGAGAGGAGGGGGGGGACGGGGGCTGAGTGGAGACGCCAGGGTGGGGGTCAGTGACCTGGACCGGGAGGCCTTGGGAGCTGGGGACCGAGGCTGCCTTCTCTGCCGGGCTCTGGGGATGAGGACGAGGACGAGGCAGCCCAGACCCTGCCCGCGGTGGAGGGGGCGGTGCCAGGGTCCTCGCGGTGCAGGCCTCGTGAACTTCCCGCCCCTGGTCTGGGATGAGCAGGTCGGGCTCCCGGAGGGGCTGAGGCCACCATGGCCCAGGAGATGGGGCGGGACGAGGACGCGCCTGGCCACTGCCCCCGCTGCACGGCAGACGGGCAGGGTTTAAAGACGCGTCTTTTTATAACTCCTGCTCCTCATCCGCTTCCATCTGCAGGCCGTTCCCATGGCAACCAGATCAGGAAGGCCAGCGGCAGCCAGAACTCGTGTTTGCACAGCGGATTCCGCCAGGCGCGCGGGTACCTGGCTCACCCCGGGGTGAGGGCGGCCTTCGCCCCGGCCCTCTGCTGCGTAAGCGAAACTTCACGTGCGGCTCACACAGCCGGGGACCGGGGACCCACGCACGTCTGGCCACATCGGATTCAGGGCCGCGGACGGCTCGCAGCCCCGTCACTTCTTGTCCTAACCACCAGAGACGAAAGTGCTGGGCTGCCTGTGGGTCGAGGGGTATCAGCCTCGGGCAAATCACAGTAATTCGCCCCGGAGGCCCCCAGCACCCGGTCAGTGGCCTGAAGCACCCTCCTGCGGTGGCCCCCAGCACCTGGTCAGCGGCCCGAAGCACCTTCCAGCAGTGGCCCCGGAGAATACGCCGCACCCCGCACGGTTCTGGTTCTGAATGTTCAGTCTCCGCTCGCCCGTCCGCGGCAGTCACACTCCTGAGGCCCCGGTTCTCCCCGCATCCGCGGGCTGAGGGTCCTGCTCTGGACGGGGCCAGCACCCTGGCATGGGGCAGCAGCCCTGAGGACAGCGCGGGGGGGCACCCCTGCACGTGGGGCTACCCCCTCGACACACGCGGGCGGGACAGCGCCACCACAGCGCACTCTCAGAGGGGAGCTACGGTGTCTAACCTCCGAGGAGCTTCTGCTCTGCTGCTGCCGTCGGGGGACTAGACTCACAGCTCCACGCGCTGTCACCCGCTGGGCGGGCTCCCCGCTCCGCAGCCCGCCGGGGAGAAGGCCCCGTCACGCCCGGGGACACTGCCGTCCCGCTCTGCCAGTCCCGTCTGTTACGTGAAGAACCTCAGCTCATTGAACCTTTGGCGAGGGTCTGGGCACACGGAGGCGAGGCCATGAGCAGTGTCTGGGCCCCCGGCGAGTGGTATCTGGGCCCCCGGCGCCCCTGGACCTGGAACGCCAGGCGAAGTCCAGCCCCATGGGCAGCGTCCACCTCGGCATCACTGCTCGCGTCTCCGCGGTGGAGCTCTGGGCGGCGCCCACAACGCGGCCACACCGTCAACGCAGCCACATCGTCAACGCGGCCACACCGTCCGCCCGGCCGGGATGCTCCGCAGATGCCGCCGGGCTCTGACCAGGAATCGGGGGTGCCATGCCCATCGCTGGGGGGGGAGGCTCTGCTCCGGCCGTCCCTGGGCCCACTGTGCAGGGCGTCGCGTCTCAGTAAGTGACGCAGTTTGAAAGATTTCGACCCCACGACATGACGACGTGCGTCGCCACCAGCTGAGCGCCCCGCCCCCCATGGGGCTGCTGTGGGGCACATGGGCTCCCAGTGCGGACACGCAGCGCAGCAGGGGACAGGAAGTGGATGGGCCTGGGGGATCTGGCTGCGGGGTGGGGGCGGTGGGGGTCCTGGGATCCTCGTGGTCCCACGTCTCGGCGCCTCAGCTGCAGGAGCGGCTCTGGGGTCGACCGGCACCCCGTCAGCCCTGGCACGCAGCCCTCCCTCACCGCGGGGCCTGCACCGGGGGCCGGGCTGCGGCCCAGACGGACGGGTGGATGGACGGGTGCGGGGCACGGGTCCGGGGCACAGGCCAGAGCCCAGGCGACGACCCGCCACGCGGCCTGGGGCTGTGGGAGGGAACGCTGGGGTCCCAGAGGTGTGCGGGCATCTGTGCGGGGCGGGTCGCCCAGGACTCACGGCGCCGGCAGCAGAGCTGGCGCACAGACGTGGTGGCCGAGGGCCGGGGCAGGCCGGCGAGGCGCCCGGACGGAGGCCGCCCTGTGCACAGCTCGGGCGACGGTTCTGTTTCCTGGGCACAGTTTGCGCAGCTGTGAAATGGGGTGAAACAGTGCCTTTCGGCAACAGAACCCTGGCTCTGACCACAAGGCTTCGCTTCTGGGAGTCTTGACTTCATTTCCCTACGTAAGAACATTATGCCTAAGTAACGCCACCAAATCTTAACTTAAAAATGGATAAAATGGTAAATTTTAGGTTGAATATTTTTACTACAATAAGAAAACCAAAGAAATAAAAAATTCAGCATGCACACACGCGCTTGCACACATGCGAAGCTCTTGTACTACATTCTTGTTACATGTACTGAAGGACTTTAGCTGCCACCTCTGCACGTGTGAAAACTCACGCGTGACCCCGCTTCTGCCATGTTCCGGGCTGGTCACTTCCCCCCACACAGCGGAGTTTGCAAAACCGCAATGTGGTCGAATACTTCTTTATGCTTCGACTGCAAGTATAAAAGCTCAACTTATAAACCGCGTATCTATATGTCCTCACTTATAATTGAAATTATCTTTCTCTTTTAACCTGTTTCTGCATGTGATTTTAGTATGTTTCTTTTTCTATTTTTCTCTTTTTTACATTGCAAACATTCTAACAATTGCCTTCAATATTCTTGTAAACCGTGGTGGGTCGATTACTATAACAAAATACATCTTTGAACCTATAGTACGCCTTTTTCTCCCCCCTAAAAATCTTGTAGGATATAAACGATAGATTCAAACGGTGCTAAAAGTAAAAGCCAAGAAAAATAATGACTCTCAGCACTGCGTACTCTAACACTGGCCTCCGCGTCCGGCCACACGATTATTTTGCAGTTATTTTCTGGACACTGCGGGTGCGGGATCTGCGCAACCCAGTACCAAAACCGCAGGCTTCTAACGGCGTAATAAATAAGCGGCAGTATCCTGAATGACAACTTTACAGCGTGGCAGTAATTCCAAGAAAAATTTACAGTCATTTTTGTCCTGGCTACGCGAGTATTTACAGGAAGCCATCCTCGGTTCTCTGAGGAGCGGGTGATTCTCACCAGCGTTT